ATAGTGCCATGGTCTAGCTGACAAGGTGGTGATCAGTCAAAGGCTGGACTCTCAGAGGCCTTTTCCAGCCTAAATGATTCTGTGACTGCTGCCTTAGGGAAAGACAAGATAAGGGATGTGGATGTGCAAGGGGATGTGCAAGCCACAGAAGAACCTCGGAAGTCCACACTATCTGTAAGGACAGAACAGACACAACACCTGCCCCTGCTTTCAAGGACTAGAGTTCTAGAAAAGGAATGTGCACCCAAGGGTGAGCCTGGAGAAAGTTGCCAGAGCCTACACATTCAGGTCCCCAAGCCCACGGGCTCTGGTCCCACAGCTGCCTGTTATGCAGCTGCAGGAAAAGGTCTGACCAGATGAGCAATAAGGCATGAAAGCAATTTTTCTTCTTTACTCCATCAGTGCAGGCTATTGCTGACACTGAATAGCCTTGAACCAGTAGTAAGGTGAAAATGTGTAACTTACAGAAAAACACCTATTTCCTTTGAAACTGGAGGTTTAGACCTACTGCACTAAAGGTGTTTTGCCCCTTTTTCTCATTAAGCTGTATAGCTCTCATCTTTCTGCTAATGAAAATGCTGTGCTGATTTAACAGTGTCACTGTGTTCTGTGAAAAGCTTAAGATAGCTCTTTTATCACCAGCTAGAACACCAGTGACTTGAAATTAGTTGTATACATGGAGGGAAAAACAGACTGTCTGTCCTTCTGCCAGAACAAACAACTCATCTTCATCTGACTGCATAGAGTAGGGGTAAGCAATCCGTAAGGAGGAAGAAGTTTTAGGATCTTAATAGCTGTGGGATGGCTGACTCAGCTTTTTGACATTCCTATTAAAAAAATAAATAATAATCTAGAAAATCCTGTCAGCTGAAAAGCAAACTAGGTCTGCAAGGAGTAAACGTCAGCCCTCAGTAAGAGTTCAGGTCTGTGTCCCCTTTTAGTCAGGCTTGAAAAGGTAGTGTGAGAAAGCAAGGTGAATTATTTGAGTTAGTTTGTGTGTCTGGGTTTGTTTTATGAAGCATACAGTTGTGTTAAGGAAAGATGTGTAAATCCTTGGGGTTGGGGATACCAGCTGCCTGCCTTTGCCCACACCTGCCTCCGTGCTACCTTCCTCTGCATCCTGCCTGGGTTTCCTCATGGGAGAGCAGGAAAGTTTATCTTCTGTCTCTATCCTAATTGTTTCAGTTTTTCTAAACTAAAAAAAAAATCCAATGTGACCAAAAGGAAAAAAAAAAAACCTGTTGTCATAGCAACAGAAACCCTCCACCCCACCTGCAAAAACAGAGAGTCCCTCGGGGCCTCAGGGCTCACCAACAGAGAGAGGGAGCACTTCCACAGCTGGGCAGGGTTAATTTTACACCATCATTTCAGGAGCTGCCAGGGTCAGAGCCCATTGACCTCCCAGGAGTGAGGGCTGCAAAGCAGTGATTCTTACACCCAGTGGCCAGTGGACACATGGCCCAGAACTAGGAATGAAACAGGATTTGTTTTTCCCACACACATGAAGGGATCCAAGAGCTTCTACTGGTTTGTGATCTCCATCCTCCCCAGAGGAGCACTTCACAAACTGGATCTAAGAGAGCAGCTCTGGAGAGTGCTGGGATCAGTCAAAGCCCAAAGGAAAGCCCACATGGCCTATTATTAATTTTGACACCAACATACAATGTTAGTCCGTGTCTAAAATTTACCAGTATCTCAGTGCCACACACTTTATCACCTGAGACTGTCCAAGTGTCAAACAGCAGCTTGCTGTCACATCAGAAGCAAAAGGCAGCCTTCAGTGCTAGTTTTTCCACACTCCCTGCCAGAAGTAAATCCAAACATTGACAGCACAAGGTCTGTCCTAAACTCAGGTAGCATGAGGTAGAACGGGAAACAGGAGAGCAGAGCAAATCCAGAACAAACATGGACCCTGTACCTCTGAATGTTTCATTACATGTCTGTTACCAGCAGTTCACCCAACCCATCCCATCCCTTCTCCAAACAGCTCCACTGTGAAGACAACATTGGCACAGGGTCTTCCCACTCCTCCAGGGATTTGTACAGCACACCCAGCCTGGGTAGTGTTTGCTTTCTACCAGGTCATGGAGAGCCCAAGGTCTTGCTGGACTTAGTGACCTGTTTTCTTGAGCATCCCCTGTCATTTTAAAAGCCTTGTCGTTTCCCTGTGCATCGCTCAGCTCACGTTTGGAAGGCAATTTCTGTGTCCTTATGTGGCACTTGCCATTAAATGAGGAACATTTGTTATCACAGCAGAGCAATTTCAATATCGTGAAGAAAGTTGTTACTCGCGTGCAACCATGGGACAGATAATAATAAATACAATAAATGTATTCTAAATACAAGGGCCATTTTCCTGGCAGGAAACTTATTTCTGCTTTCTAGCAACGTGCTCATGACCCAGAAACTTCAGCAAAGACAGCAAGTGTATCCCATCACCAACCTGGGAGGGTTTGGCGGGACAGAAGTGTTTTACAGCAGCTTCCCAGTGCATTTAAGGCTCCCTAGTGAAGTGTTCAAAAGGAAGTTTTAGTCAGTCCTCTGCAGGAATTAGCAACATCAAGATGTTATGCATATATAACAACATTTTGCCCCATTTTGGGGCTAGTCTACACATAAGTAAAACCAGACATAAACAATTTCATACCTGCTCAGTATTCTGAAGTGCTCTTTATCACTGATCATGTAATGGTTTCCAAATGCCTCCATAACGTAAAAGTAATGAGGGTACACTTAATTAGGATATATGAAGATATTTAAAAATCAACTGTTCATATTTTGTTCACTTTTCAAATAGGATAATTGCATTAAAATTATTACCTTCTACTTATTTCAGTTATAAACATCACTTTTATTTTCCAATCTCAGAAGAAAATAAGAACGTCAGCCAGAAGAGAGCAGCAGCTTGTTTTGCATTTTGTATCTCAGGCTCAGTACTATTGTATTAGAGATCTCAAATACCCAGGTGTGTGCATCAGAGTTGTTCTAAACAGGAATATTAAAGTTCCTGTTAAGCTGAAAACAGAGCTATACTTACCCTTTCCAAACAATAGGTCTGCACAGGATTGACATCACAGTGCAGTGGCTGAGGGCCTCTATTAGTACCACTTACTGCAGATCCAGGTGAGCTCACTTGAAGTAGGGAGCAAAGGTAATTTTCAGCCATTTATCAGCCTCTTGATCTTAGCAGCAATTAAGGCTGAATAGCATAGGAGAGTGAAAGTTACTGTAATGTGCATGGACTGTGATTATTCCTGAGGGTCTGCCATCTGCAGGGAAATCCTCCTCTCGCCTTCTGGGCTTCTCTCCTTTCTCTGCAGCTCAAGGGGTGCAGCCAAGGATTAAGGAGCTGACCTTGAGTCTTGCCCTCACATATTTCCAGTATTTACAATAGTAAATGAACACACAAATTTTTAGCAACAACGTTAATTTCTTTTCTTCTTTGGAAATGTAGCACTTTGGTGCATTCCAGAAAATTCTGCCTATTTCTATACCCACACCATCCATTTCCTTGTCACAGACCTGCATGGCTGCTGTGAAGTATTTGGCTGTTGGTGTCAGCAGCCATCACACACCAAAAGCTGCCTTTGACTCATGCACAGTCCTGTGCACGTCTGGAGATGGGCTGAGGGAGACGGTTCGGGATTTCTGGTCTGCTCTTCACTGGCACTTATAGAAATATATCTTATTATTCTGCACCACCAAGTGGCCAGATTGAGCAAGGATTGCAGAACACCTTTGGATCCAGGCTTACTACATCACCCAGATGGGTTTGGTTATGGTGTGGAAGTTCATACTGGCCCAAACTAGCAACTAGGAAATAAAAACATTAGAATGTAAAGTCATATTTTGAACATCCCCTAAGGCGTTCTCAGAGGTGCGTTTTCAGAACTGTTTCAGTTCTCATATCAGACAGAGTTCTTTGGTGGGCTGCACACCTGAAACTCAGGCATATTTTAAGTATTTCAAATTCGGTGGTGGATGGTTCTGTAAATACAAGGCAAATATTTCTGAATTGTGCCAGAAGTAGGAAGAATGCAGGTATCTTTGCACTTTACCATTAGAGATTAATCCCACTATCTTTAAAAACTGTAAAAAAATAAAAAAGATGGCATTTCACGCAGAATGATGCATTACATGGTCTAAATGAGAGCTATTTTCCCATTCTTTTGTACCTTATGGTCCTTGTGCTCAGGAGGATTCACAGTTGAACTCCTATGTAGTCACCCTCAAGGTACAAAGAGTGAGGTCTGTTGCTGATCAACACTGCTTGTCCAAAATCCCCCCATGATATAACAGCTGATTCCAATGCACGACATTACATATCATGTTTAATATATGATATTGATACTGGAACAGGGCAGGGAGTGGTCCCTCATTCTGGTTTTGGGAATATCAGATTATGTATCAGAAGATTCCTTCTTTCAAGATGTTAATGAGTTGGGTCACTATTTCATAAATAGTATTTCCTTAAGTAGTACTTTACTTAAATCTTATTTCAGAGTAACTCACAGGCTCATCAATCTCGTACTGGAAATCTTTGTTACCTGGATTTCCATGGGCCATATGGAGAAGTACTCATTGGGAATCAGGACCCAGTCAGTGCTTTAAGCCTTCACGTATTTCAGTGGGAGCCAGGCTTTTAACCTGCCTAAATACCTCAATCGGTCCCTTGTTTTTTGAATGTTCAGGTTCCTAAATATTTTTCAATGCCCGGCTCTGTAATTGTATTCAGGCACTGTAATTTCACCTTTGTTCCAGTGTCTGGAAGTTCACAGTTCCCTATTGCACGTCATGTTGGCTCGGTGCATTGAGACCCGGGAGGCCTTCAACAAAATGTCTCTTACTTGGGCACATTTGGGGTTGGACACAGGCCATACACATAGAGCCTTAATCCTTGTGTTTCTTTTCAAAGTGGAATTTTTAAAGTCCCTTGTAAGCCCTGAGGTCACAGTGCATTGGTCCTGAGCTGTGTGTGTTCCCTGATGACCAAGGAACTGAGAAGTAAAATTGGGATGGGGGCACTCGAAAAGATCAGAGGGGTTTTCTATGTGTGCCTCACCATTCCTGATGTAATGCATGGCAGTACAGGACAAATCTAGCAGGGATAGCAGCAGATGTTGAAAAACTAAGCACGAATGCTGGAAATGTAAGTGTGCTTCTGATTATTTAAATAAGGACAAATTAAGAAGGAAGAATAAAGAGAAAAGGCATTTGTCTGGAGTGCAGCAATGCCTGGAGACTTCTGCCACGATCAGAGCGACATTGTGCTGTGCAGGCTGTGAAGGATTAGCAAAAGGTTGAGCCAGGGGGACTCACACACCAAATCAGTAAATCAGTCAAATATGAGTGTTTGCATTTTACAGCTGGTGCTGAAAAATGGAGAAAGATGAAGTGACTTGTGTGAGTTGATTCCAGGTTGGCCCAGGGCGCTGTGCACCTTTGAAAGCAGTGCCGCTCTGGGAGAAGCAAGCGTTGGCTACCACTGAGGATTGGGAGGTAACAAACTGGATGTCGTGTTCTGCTGCCAGTGGGGTGGATCCTGACTTCCCCAGCCCACAGTTGGGATGGCAGAGAACTCTGTGATAGTCTCTGTATTGACTGATGGTGTTCAACCAGTGTCAAGGCTCCGGCAACAACAGAGTGATGTTCAAGGTTAAGGACCTGACGGTTTTAATCTTTGAAATGACAGCAGCTGAGGGGGCAATATAACTATAGGACCCCAAATTGCAAATGACCATTTGCAAATGTCTTTTGGCTTCAAAAAAACACAAGGCTTCAGTGCTTAAGACTTGCTATATATTTAGATTGAAAGTCCCTTCTGTCTGTTGAGGTGGCTGCAGGAGCCACCACCACTCCTGTACACTGCTGTGGACCAGCTATTGCCATTGCCTTGGGAGCTGGAAGCTTTGCAAGAGATCAAAGGTACAGAATAACAGGACACATTCATTCAGGCTTCCCTCAATATTGTGCCACATGCTTGTTTCCCTTTTGCACCTCAGGACACAGAGAAGGTCTTTCCTCAAAACCATCATCAGGTCAAGCAGGCAAAGCTGGATGCTTTGCTTACCTCCTCTGCTTCATCCACAGGATCCATATGTCATTCCTGAGATTAAACCCTGGCACCACTTGGAGTCAATGAGCAGCTTGCCAATTATTTTCCAGGCAATGAGGATTTCATCCTTTGTTCATCCTGTGCCGACTGGGCTAACGATGTTCAATTAGAAACTGCTCTTTGTTCTAGTGCAGTCAAGAGGATTCTTGCCAATGATTTGAATGAGCATTAGATAAAGCTTATGGCTAAATTCAATCCTTATGCAGAAATCCATGGATCCCACTGAATTGCTTTTCTCCCAGAGAAATTAATGGGAGCTTTTTGAGAACATCTAAGGGAAGATTTAGTTCCTGTTTGTAACAATATGTTACCCCCTGATACTGGGCCTGCTTTGAAATGTTTATTGTTAAATCCATGAATTTTTGGTTATATCTCATTAAGAACATAATACAGCCTTGGAAAGTACATTCTGAAAGGGTATTACAACTGGATTGGGATTACTGTTTGTGAGACACTTTTAACTAGGGGGAAATTTCAAATTCAATTTACAGTAATGTCAAACCACAATTAATATATAGGCAATGATAAGGGGAACATGCAGAAGTACACATTGATAGCACTACATCAACAAATAAACTTTTGGTGCTAGTAATTAGGTACACAAGATTATTATATGTTTAATTGACTAAAGTGACAATTTGGAATTACATCTAGTCACATTTAATTGGATTTGGAATCTCTAGAGGAAAAGAAACAGAGAGCAATGTAGAGAGGCAGCCATAAAAGCAAACTGATTTTCTAAAGTCTGTTAAGACTCTGCATTAATATCCTTTGCACAATAGTTTTTTAATATCCCTCAGCCTAGAAAGAGTAATGCAATGATTGTCACAGACAGTGGGAGTACCAAAGCATACTCAACTAGGTGACAAGACAGTTAATTACTTTTAGTTTGGGGTGGGTTTTAAGATATAGTTTAATCAAAGGTGAACTCTATCTGTGTTTGCCATAGATAAGTGATATTCCAAGACTGTCAAGCTAAAGGGTATTATATACATTGATGCTGTTCCTAGAACAAATGTACTTACATATATTTCACCCACAAATAATTTAAAGAGAGAAAAAGAAAAACCAGGCTAAAATATTGTATAGCAGCCATTAAATATTTGCTGAGAGTAAAATACTGGAAAGTTATTAAAATAAAATGTAGAGTTGCTTGTTGGCAGATAGCTTAACTAGCTCAAAAAATGTTTATCTTAAAGCTGGACAAAGACTGAGAATAATGTGTAATCTTTTGGTACATACCTCAAGTTGCACTCTTCTAATATTACCTCCTTTAAATATTGCTATTTGCATCCTGCTCTCACTCAATTACTTTGCTTTTGGGATCAGGAGCCCCATGATTGCTGACTGTAGGTTCATCACGATGGGAGGCACCGCGTATGCAACAAGGGACCTCATCCATCTGTATTGGCAGGCAAAAATTGATAGCCCAATGAGGAAGGAGGTGCCTATCTCACTATTAAGATCAAAATGAAGGATTACTGCTTAAAAGAGTGCCGACAAAGGTAGCTCTTGGGCATATCAATCAACAGGACACTATACAGTACTACCGTATTTTTAATGAAGTAGACTTCCTTGGACTAATTTTAAGGGTAAAATTCAAGGTTGTTAACCCTTGACTCATACTTCAATTTTATGGAGTGCTATAAAATTTAATTCTGGATACTGTATAGTCCCCTAAGCTATTTTTTGTGATGTCGTCCTGCCTTAGTGACACTTTCCTTTTGGAATTTGCATGGTACTAATCCTCTGACGCCTTTCGAAACTCTTCAACCAGAAGGGGAGCAAAAAAATGCCTGTAAAAACTGGTCTCAGAGGAACCTGCAGTGCTCTGTGAAGGATGACTAGGCAAGACCCCACTCTACAAAGATTACTTATGTGGGGAGTAGACCATTGACTTTAATGAGACTTGTCGGAGTGATACTTATTTGAGATGGTTGTTCAGTCCAATCAGCACAAATTTAAGTTTAAGGGTGTCCCTTCTGCTCTGAGGAGAGCTCTCACACAAACCTGGAGGTGAACGGATGCTGGATCCTTTGCTGGGAGATGCTCATTGCTGCAGACTCCCAGAATATACCGGGTCCTCAGGTTCTCCACAAAAAGAAGTTAAGAATACTGGGAACAGTATATGTCCCATGCAACAAAATTTCAGGGTTTGATTCTGATGGCGTCTATTTTGGTTTTTCTTTGAGATCATCTGTGACATCTCTACTGTATGTGTAGTGGTGCAAAATATGTCCGACGTAAGCCAGAGTAATAAAGTTCAGAATGTGATCTTTTATCTTCCCTCACATGGTAAATTTTTCCTTTTTTAAACTATTATTAGTTGCATTCTTATTGGTAAAACTGAATAAATCTCATTCCCAGGAGCTGCTGAATTTCAGTACTGCTGTGAGTGCAAAGTGCATCTCATTCAGAGAATTACCCACTGGGCTACTGTTTGCAGTGCCTGTGAACTTTCCTATGTGCTTTCCAGCAGAGAATTTCTTCTGTACAAAACAGTTTGATTTTTTTTTCCCTACTGGGTCAGACTTGTTTAAAATCCCGACTTCACAAACAGGTTTTATGAAGGGGTCATTTCTTCAAATGGAACGTCTTTTTTTGTCTCTTAACACTGGAATCCATTGACTTCCCTTCTTGATGTCACGGACATGAAGCTTCAAAGAATAAACCTTTAAAGGGGGAGCTGTCATAGCTGTCCTCTCCCCCAGGGGTTTAGACTGTCCTGCTATGTAACAGGGCCAAAAAAGTAGCATGAAGGACAAGATTAATCACATTTCCTCCTTGTAGAGTCTAAACCAGAAGCTGTGGTTGGGTTAAGGTGGGAATGAACCAGAACCAGAAGGGGGGATGGAATTGCTTCCAGCCATTACCATCATCTGCCAGATAGCAAGGGACAAATGATTTTGGCAGTGGTAGCACCCTGGCTCATCAGTGCTTCACTCCAGAGCTCACAGCTCATTCCTCTTCCTGATGGAAAGTCCATGTGTGGGCCTCCCTGGACCCCTGTGGTACCACGAGGCACCACCATGCTGTGTGTGCCCCGTTCCGGCTCCTTCCCTGCGTTTCTCCCAAGTTTGCTGTCATCTTTGACTGCGGGAGCTTTGAAATGCCAGTAGAGATCTAACCATTTGTTTGATTCCCCACTGTACTCGATTTTCACCAGGAGACAGAGATTGCTCTGCAATTTTGTGCTTTTTGTGTGCGTGCCTGAGCGTGGGCTACGCGAGGGATTCAGCGGTATCGAGATGCTGACACGCACGCAGGAGAGGCAGCTGGGTGCCCAGTGCTGCTCCCACTCAAGTTAATAGCTGGCACTCAAGAGAAGCTGCTCCTGAAGATATATCCCCAGCACCAGTAACAACCTTTGTCCCCCACAGCTGATGAATTCTGTGCACTCAGCATCAGGGGTGGCTTCTGTGTCATTAGAGCGCACAGCAACAATCATGCAGGATGATGCAGCATGTGACACTGCTCTGGGACTTTCCACCACAGAGAGACTGAGCAGAGGTAGCATAATCTTTTTTTATTAATATTCTCTCTATGTCATGGTGTAAAGCTGAAAATAACTTGTCACAACTATACATGCTCATGTGCTTTTGTAACCAAAGCAACAGCTATTGATGCACGCTTTTCTTGCTAACTACTCCTCTGCCCCAGAACTCACCAGGATTGGCTCACAACCATGAGTAACATTTTCCAAGGAGGAAGGGAATAGAAGGGGAACAGGATGGTTTGTTTTTTCCTTCTGTGAAGAAAGATTTTTAGATTAGATACATCACTCTTTGCTTTGATCAGTGGGTCATGTATATAATCTTCTGGTGTGTCATAGACTACTTTTGTTTCTTCTTTTCATGATTCTTCTAAGTGCTGGAAAGGGCTTTTCCTTCTCACAGCCTGTCTTCTCCTTCTGCCATGGCTTCAAATCTTTGTACAGACCACTTGAATCCTTGAGCTGACAACTTTACTGCAAAAAATTCAGGCCCTTAATTTACATCTGCAAAACTCTTTATTTATCCTACTTCTAAATCACTGGGTTTTTTTCTCTCCTGATCTATTCCTCATGCTCAGAGCAGTCTTTATCTTGTATCTCCTCCGGTTTTCTTCTCCTGATATGGGTCTTATACTTTCCTTTGAACTTCTCCTATCCCTGACATCAACTGCCAGGAGTCTTCTTTCTTCAAAATCCTTCTTAAAACATCTTCAAATTGCTCCCCTCTTCATAATCAACTTTTACATTTTTCCTCTTCTCCAGCAGTAACCTGTTCCATGTGACTGTGTACCTCCTCTAAGGCACACTGCAAGGTTTGTATTGCTAGATTTTTAAGCCAGATGGGCTCATATTGGGGAATTATCTGACTTTCTGCATTAAAACACCAGAGAATTGCACCCTTAACTGCCTGCATTGGTACCACAAGAGAAAAGCAGAGACTGGTTTTGAGAAAGTTACCCAATCCCCTTTTAAGCAGTTTAAGAATAGAATATTTACCATTGCCCATCTAATAGTTGATTTGTTGTGTGGTTTTTCAGTTTTTCTCCCCAATTTACAAAATGGGATCTTACTCATCCAGTCCAAACTTCCAGCAATTTATATTATGCATTAATTTCTGAAAGCTTAAAGAACCTTTAGTACTTGTTATCTTCTCCCTGTATATGTATCTATGGATCATGATCAAGGCAACTTTAAATATTCTTTTTGATTAGCTTTTTGATTAGCTTTCTCTGATTGTCCCCTTTAAAGTAAATCATCTATTTCTGGATCTTCTGTACAGTGATATGTAATATCTAATGCCCTGTGTTGGTTTTGAATATTAATGCCCATCTTCCATTCTACTCTGAGACAGAAGTATAATGCAGATGAGCAGTGGAAAAGTAATTTGCAATGGATAATATTATTCAGTAAGTTGGGCCTTTTTCTCTGTTCAAATATTTTATTCTGTGGATTGAAAATATACATTCCAAGTTAACACATCATCAAATAAATGGGCTTTTTTTCATAGCCCACTACAGATATGCACTGGATGATTTGTGTATTGGCTGTTAGATTGAAAGTAGGTGAATTAAATAGAGTTCATCACAATAAATAAGAATGGAAAAATTAAACGTATTATGGTAAATATCTTCAGAGTGGTAGCAGCAAGACAAAGTTTAAACTTACTTATTACTATAATCAGGTAAGCTCCCTAGCATTTATTGTCAGCAATGCCATTTCTCAGCTGGTAATAGCAAAACAAACAGCAAGCTTGTGATATTTCATCCCACAGAAAGGATCCCTCTCCAAACTGTCCAGTTTTACTCACACCTTTGCAAACTATTTCCAGTGGCTAAAACCTGTACAATATAAGCTGGACGTTTCATTCTGTGAGTAAAAATATATCACACCCATATGACAACGTCAAAAAATTCCCAACACTGTCAAACAGGAACTTTGCAAATACCTTGAAAGTCACAGCCTGATTTCACCAATATCTAATTTATAATATCTCAGTCTCAACTCATCAGCACACTACAAATACAATTCCTTTTATTATTTCATTTTGAAAACCATGTGCCCTATTTTATACTAGAGGTTGAGCTCCAGCATACACCATGCACTTGTACATCCAAAGTCAATCCCATCCAGCCAAAGTCTCACACTAAATGCCATTGCACCAGCTATGCATATGTTGCAGAAACTAACAGAACCCCAGGAAAGCATTTCAAAGCTTGTAGGTTCATATCTGCATGCTTCCATAGCCATCTGTACTAAAAGCCTTAATTCCAGAACGCAGCCAACATGTATTTGCTACAGCTCAAATGGAGACCTTTAATTTGCATTGGAGTAAACCGGGCTTTTAGCTTTAGTTCCAGTTCAACCCCAGTGTTTTGGCCAAGATTGCAGCCATCACAGAGCTGCTTTTAGCAGTTTGAAAAAGAAACTTGTGTTTCTGAGGATATTTCTGTCAGCTAAACTCAACGCCACAGAGAAAGCTTCCAGTAGCACACGAAGGTCTCTGTATTCAGACCTTTGTTTTGCACTCTGGTCGCTGTTATGAACATCAGGTGCTTCCATTTCAAAAAAATCTGGGCCGTTTCAAGCACAGAGCAATCTGCACATCACACAATGAAGCAAACAATAACCCAGCCCTGTGAGGTGGCTGAACACCTACGGCGCAGCGGTGAGCGCTGTCAGCTCCTTTAGAGCTCAGCTTTATCTCACACCTTGTGGGGTGAAAATCCAAGGCAAGGAAGTTAAGGGAAAAAGCTCTCGGTAGCCAAACCCTCCTGTGCAGTCCCAGCTGGTGCCCAGGCCTGTCAGCAGCCCTGTGTGCTCACGCTTGACCCGTGCCCCGGTATGGAGCGTGAGGTTTCCAAGCTGGCAATGACAGGGATGTTTTGCAATCCTCCTAATGCAATGACTGATAGGAGCTGACAGGCAGCCTCTCTGGGCAGCCTGGCCATCAT